TACAGAAAAATTTCATTTTGATAAGATTTTGTTTTAATCTGTGACAATTACTATTAAAAATGATCTATAGACACCTTACCCTTAATCAAATCTTTTTTTAATCTCTTTTTGTATAAAATTAAATATCTCTTTGTACTAATTTAAAAATCATGTTTATACATGCTAGTGAAATAGGTTTTCAAAAAATCCTATTTCATCTTCATTAGAGCAAATTAGAATTTTTTATATATAAGAGCAAATCTAATTTAGATAGTTATATTCCTTATATCTTTTGAAAATTTCTAGTAATAAAAATTAAAACTAGTAATATAAAAAAAACAGATAAATTATATATAAAATATAAACTATTCAGATAATGGTAGCAGTGTGGTCTGCCTGTAAAGGTATAGAACCTATTTAGTATTTACAAGTGCTGGTCTTAATTACTTGTCATATATAATATAGATACTATATAATAAATAATAAAGTTCTAAGACAAGATCTGCTTTAACAATAAAAAAAAGTGTTTAACAAAATCAAACATTCAAATACTTTATCAAGTCAAATATCAGATTATAAATCAAATAATATATACAGTATATTTTATATAATTAATTTAATTTATAATTGTTTAATATCCGACTCGAATAAATATTTTAGTGTCAAAGTTTTAATTGTGTCAAGCACTATCTGCAAACAATAATAATAATAATTAAAAATACAAATATTTTGAGATTAGAAACACATAATAATTCAAATCTAATTGACTAATATAAGATATCATACGATTCTTTCTTATACAACGATATTTCCTGGGTACTATTTGTTCAAGTCACCCTTCAAAGATAGATGCTACTAAATAATCAATTTTTTTTATAAGATCGCATACAAAACTCAAATTATTATAGTTATATTTGTGTTGATGATAGTATATTAGCTTTTAAACATTGCGAAAATTTCGAATATGAAAGTGCTGAGTATGTACAGCAGATTTACTACACAATATTACTTTAAGAAATATTGACAAGCATTAATCAAAGTCTGCGCTATGATGAAATTATCGATTTAGAGAAATATTTACTGATCCCCCAAGAAAAATAGTGGTCTTAACGCTAGTAGGTAGAATGTACGTAACACAGTTTGTTCGTATGGACTCTGATAAAGGTGGATTATTAACTTGCGGAATCTGATGATTAAAGTCGTAATAAGCGCCGTCAGTTCGCATTGTTCCTTGTGGTGACAGATGATTAAAGTTGTATAGAGGATTCATCTGTCTAGCTTCTGGTGAGAGTGTGCAATTGAAGTCATAAAGATGCTCATGCAAATACGGATCATTGTCCTGTCTCCGTTCTATAATTGCTCCGTTAGAAGAAGGGATGCTAGTAGTTGAATTATTATGATAACAATGCGCTTCTCTAAAACTGTGACTACTTGATATGACCGTGGATACGGACATCGCATCAGAGTTATCATCACAATTTGTATTTGGACCGAGAACATCTGTGATAACAATGTCAACATCTTCTTTAGCTTGATCGATAGCACAATTACGTTTGGTAATAGTAGATCTAATTATGGAATTATCCGATATTGATGTCGCGTCACTTTCTTCATCGTGTCTAGATGGTGTCAATGGCATAAACATTTCATCGGTACAGTCCACCGTAACATTAGAAATCCATTCTTGAATGTTCATCATGAAATTTTAAAAGATACTGGTTAATCGATCGATTACGTTCAATTATATATAATCGACAATAATCGTAGGATGTTATTGAAATTGATGATTAGTGAATTATCAATCGATGATCATCGATTTAATAGCTAATTGTCGTTTGATTCTCTGATTCGATCGTACGTGTAGTCGCACAACAAAATATGCAAGTTTTTTTTAATAAAAGAAACTTTGAATGATTAATAATGCTACTTATACATAATATCTAAAAGCAAAATTATTATTAAATTTCAAGCTTAGAAAATAACTTTGACTGTGATTTATTTTTAGACAATTTCTGTCTTTTTTGGTGTAATTTTTCTTACACATTTCAATTGAAAGCGGATAGATATTTTCATTCATTGTACGAATTCCTTGCTGGTCTGGTGAAAGCTACACTTTAATCTGTGACTACTTTGAATTGATCTTTTCTTCAATATAAATTTGTTCAAACTTTATACTTCAATTCATCATGGTTTACAAATCGATATCATAATGGAAGTATTTGTCAAGTGAATAATAGGTAAAGCTGTTGTTGCAGATTTATATATGTAAACTAATGGATAGCTAAGATATAACGAACATGTATACAACGAATTTTAAATTCAAAAATTCATTATAAAACCGTTATGTACACGTATTAGTAAAAACTATATAACGGAATTTTAAACCTACTACTAGTATAGTTGAATAAAACTATTTGCATACTTCACCAAGCTTCAAAATTAAGTAATAATAGTATTGTTATTATATAGTAATATCATAGTAATAATAAAATATTATATTATTAGTAATTGATTAAATTTTGATGATTTAAATTCAATCAAGATTTATTTTTTTAAAAAACTTAGCAGTTTCTTAAATTTTTTTTGTTATTAAAGGTAAATATAGTATTATAAGGCCGCGCAAACAAATAAAATTGTTTCTCGTTACCCGGCCGGGTAGCTTTTTTAAAAAAGCTAATAAAAAATATACCATTTTTTGCCGGCCGGCCGGGTCCTATTAACTTGTCCTATGAAACGAGAAACAACTAATTTAATTTGCATGACCTAATAATTATTTTGGTTTAAAAAAACTTATTGCAATTATGTATTTATCTAATTTTTTTTATTTTATTTTATTTTATTTTTTTTTCTTTAGCAGCCTTGCAGTATTCTTTATTAAGTTTAATATATTACAATTACTATAATACAAACTATTCTTAATAACTTCAAATTTGATATTCTCTAGCTATCTTTATAAGTGTCCAGAAGTAGTCTGTTATATTAGTTCAAAAATTATAAAACCAAAGACTATACTAAGCTAACCTAAGAGAAAAACAATTTTATTTTATTTTTTATTTCAACAATTCAACAATTTACAATAAGATTTCAGTTAGCTAAATATACATTATCTATACTGTTAACTGTTTTTCACCTATATAAATAAAAATTTTCTCAATTTGTCTTATTATCATAGCAAAATCATAGCAAAATAAGATTAAGTACTAGAGTATAACTTAGAAGTAACCTATCTAAGTAAACATTTTTTTCTTCTAGGATTTTTAGCTTTTTAAGGATTTACATCTCAAATATCAATAGATAATTCTTACCAACCTTGTCAAAATTACTGTTCTACAATAGAGTATTATTAATTTAATAATATTTTTTCATAAGAAGTAAAAAAATAAAAAGAAATAAAAGTATAATAAAAAAAAAATTATTGGTGTAGTGACTTAGTGAAGTTGACAAGTTGTTGCACCCCCAAGCAGCAGGACTAGAGTTTGAATCCTACCGGCAACAAAATTTCAAATTATAAAAAATGCATTTGGAAGACTGTATCCTATTGGGTTGTAGAATCTACAATAGTGGTTATACCAGCTTGTATTGGAAGGTAGTGGAATATATAGTGTGATGTATGAGTTATACAAAATCTGAGTGAAACTACTAGATAAATACAGAGAATTTACAGGGTACAGGAGCCTGCTTGGCAAGACCCGAGTGAGGAGGTAGTACAGATCTTTGACAGTTACTATGTAAAGGATGATCAACTAGATACTGGAAAACCAGACAGGACCGAGGTGTTTAGCAAAAGCATTATACCAATCAGATCAATAGGGAAAAAACAAAGGAAGAGTTCCACCTTTCCGGGCTGTAAGATTAGAAGTTTGGGTTTCTGGAAGTATGAAAGGGAGTCCGTAAAGTAGATATCGTAGTTTGGGTGAACTCTACAAGAGCAGTAGTAGGTAACTATAGCAGCTTCAACTCGCAAGTACTTGTTCTCAGACTCAGCGTAAGTTATCGAAAAGGCCTAATCTAGAAATATATAAGACATAAAAAGATTAGAGGATATATACTATACCCTCCCTAGAGTAACTCGATAAGTATGAGAACCCTATTAGGTTATTTATAGAATTAGAGCACAAGTAGTATAACACATATCAATCTGGGTAGTCTTTAAATATAGTAGCATGAAGTTATGAGCTAGTGTAATTGTAGGTGGTGGTAAATATACTACTTAAATACCTAATAAAAATTTATCTGTTTGCGACATTGCAAGAGAAAAAAAAAAAAAAATTAAGTAAAACAAATATATAATAAAAGCAACTAAATTATAAAAAAATTTAAAAGCTATTTTAAAATCTATAAGAATTTGTTTACAAATAAAAAAATCTGCTAACCAGGTCAAAAACTATTTATATAATCATAGAAATTTATATATAAAACTTTTTTTTGATTTTGCTATATATATAATAAGCTTCATTACAATTCTATTATAATGATATATCTATATATTCATATATAAATATTTTCACATAGTAAATCATTTAATTTTCTATTAAAGAACTAATTTAAGTACAATTAATTATAGAAAGGAAAGGGATACTTAGATTAGTGTTCTTTATTATTAACCTATTATTTAACGACTGATCTAGTTTTCTTCAAACTGCAATTTAAATATAGAAAGATTCTTTATTAAATAAATTCTATACCTTTATAAACAGTTTATACTATTTCTAAACCACTCTGTCTTTATAAAGTTCATCTATATACTTAAGATTGCATTACCTTTTGCTTAAGTCTTGCCAAATAGGCATCAATCTTGCAGAAGTTCTCAAAATTTATTTGGCTATAAGTATTGTTACAAATTAAAATAAAATCTGATCAAAATGAAACTGGAGACCTCTTATGTCTACTTTTAGAGCCTATAAAACCTACATATATTCATTTATTAATAAACTTAACTCTAAACTCTACCTCTAATACTAAAAAGAACTTCAAAAAAATAGCTTTCAAAAAATTTTAAATTTTCTTTAAAAAACAGAAAAATTTCATTTTGATTAGATTTTAGTTTAATTTGTGACAAGTA